TGAGTCCATTGTGGAACAAGATAATCAGTGATATGCGACATGCAGGCAATGTAGGAAATTCTTTAATGCTCACGTGCCAAAACCACCCACAAAACGTGATTCACGCTTCAGTTGCAGACGACTTCAAGAAAGCACCTGAAGGAGGCTGTCTTATACCATGTACCTCGCGACTCCAGTGTGGTCACGTGTGCGACTTGATGTGTCACCCCATAGACCCAGGTCACGAACAATATGAATGTAAAAAGCCCTGCACGAAGATACTCTGCGATCTGGATCATAAGTGCCCCAAGAAATGTTACGAAGATTGTGGACGATGTCTGAAACCTCTTGAAAAAATCCTTCCCTGTGGTCACCTCCAGAAGGTTCCATGTTTCCACAGCAATATTCTCTCTCAACTAAAATGCAAAATGCCTTGTTTAGCTACTTTGAATTGTGGACACCCTTGCACCGGTAGGTTTGATTAAGACAATTAATTTCGTAGGCATTTCTCTATTTTTTTTCAGGAAAAGTCATCTTTTATGTATTGTCTGAAAAATTGAATTTTATGACCAAGACTACGTAAATTTTATGTAAAACATGGGAACCATTTATTGCAACACATTTTTTTCGTTTACTCGATCGTTTAACTAAATGTACGATAGCACAGTAACCCTCATCCTACCCAGCAGTTGTTGGCATTCGTTTTAAAATAATCGTCTTGTACCTGATTGGCTCGAACTCTTTGCAAATTTCACTACCTGTGACACAGTGTTACCGTGGAAATATTGTCGCTCATATTACTTTGTGCATGTCAAATTTATCACGCGCATGCATGCGCACTCATTTTGCCGCTGTGTCATTTTATGTCTTGTCTTACAAGAAGTTTAATTTTCCACCAAAGGAAATGTTCACTCAATTCAAAATTGTTAAAACGTTTCTAGCTCTTTGACATGCAAAGATTTGGAATAGCTTCCGAACAAAATAACACATTGACAACTTCACACATTGCAGGTTGAGTAAAAGCTTACAACTTCGATTCTATTTCTCGTGTTTTCGACTTGTTCCTTGTTGGCTCGAGCTCTTCGCGAAATTTCTAGAGTAAAAGCTTACAACTTCTACTTCTCGCGAAATTTCTTTGCACGAAGTTTCCTTTTCCACTAAAAAGGAAACGCTCAGCACAATTCAAGTGTTATAACGTTTCTAGCTGTTTAACATGCAAGATTTGGAATAGCTTCTGGACAAAATATCAATAACATTGACAACTTCACACATTGCAGTTTGAATGAGCTGACGACTTCTATCATTTTTCATGTTACTTTTAAACATATTCCATTTTAAATTATGTTAGGTACATATTAGCTCAGACAATGTTTAATTTTGATGATTGCAATAGCCATTTATATTTGCATGAATTTGATATTTTCACACTCTCTAGGTAACTGCAATGACTGTATGGTGGTCGAGTCCACGAGCCTTGCAAGAATAATTGTCGCCGAACTCTGTTCTGCGGGCATAGCTGCCTAGGAATGTGCACCAAAAATTGTCTGCCGTGCAGGGAAATGTGTGGCAACTACTGTAAACACAGAAAATGCGAGAAAAAGTGTGGCGACCCTTGTGATCCATGTAACGAGAAATGCATTTGGCAATGCCAGCATCACAAGTGCACAAAGTTATGCAGCGAGCTTTGTGATCGCCCTCGTTGTAATGAACCTTGTACAAAGCCACTTCCATCGTGTAATCATCCCTGTATTGGTCTCTGCGGGGAACCGTGTCCGAAGAAGTGCCGAGAGTGTCACGAGGATGAGGTTACAGAAATCCCTTTTGGAGCGGAAGACAAGAAAGACGCACGATTCGTAGAACTGGAAGACTGTGGTCATGTATTTGAGGTGGAAATGATGGATCAGTGGATGGACCAAACCGACACATCAAAGGGTGGAAATTCTGTTAATGTTCAACTCAAGTACTGTCCGAAGTGCCACGTTCCGATTCGATGCAGTTCAAGATATGGCAATATTGTTAAGATGATTCTGGCTGATTTCAAAAGAATCAAACAGACTATTTCACTCTCTGAAGTCCAGGGTAGTCAAGAAGTAGCCAGAATGTTACTTGTAGCGCAGCAGATTGAGCAATTCCCCTCTGACCGAGGAAGTATCAAGGCATGGCTAGGTCAGGAAAGTCACTCAGCTGAAGATCTTGATGTGATAAGGAACCAGTTCAACCTTTTGTCTTTCCTGCAGATGCAAAGAGCCACAATGCACCGTCAATTTGAAGAGGAAGAGGTACTGAGTGAGACCAAGAAAGACTTCGAAGGTAAAGTGGAAGAACTCCGGGTTCGCATCATGGCATTAAATTCTCAGACGTTCAATTGCCAACACGTAGAGGAGCTCAAGGAGGAAATGCATAGAACGCAGCTCCTAGTCGACTTTAGATTGCTCACTATGCAGCTAGAAATCCGAGGTATTCATCTGAGCATTACAGACACTGTGGAGGTTGGCTTGACAAGAGAAGCGCTGGATTCAGAGAGGAAGATTGGTATTGATATTTATAATGCTGAGCGATAATGAGGCTCATAAGAGAGGCTTCCTCCTGATAAAAAATATAAGATCGAGCATGTAAGGGAAGGGGGAGAATACTGCTTCAGTTCCCTTTTATTATCATTTGCCGCTTTTATTTTGGAAAATTTGAAAATGATGAAGATTATTTGTTCAACTAAGGAGAAAGTGAGTCGTGTGCATTGAAAACCGTCACTGCATCCGAATAGTTATAAGTTGCCAATTGAAAGCTGTTCTATGACTTTAGTGACCAAGTTTGAAATGAAAGGGAACGGGACAATTCTCCTCGCTCATACGATTACAGCGTCTCATTCTGGTTTTCGAATCTAGTTTTATCGAGAGTCGTCAAGTTATCATGACCTGTGCAAAAGATCTTGTCTAACACTTGGAAATATTTCAGGTTAGACATTTCGAGATCGATATACTGCTCGAATTAAACGTATACGACGGGAGCAAAACATTCAACTTTGCGACCAGGCAGAAGTAAGCGACAACCAGAGTCATAGCGGTAATTCAAAGTGTCTGGCACAGGCTTACTGGCTCAAGAGTACAAAGGGTGAGTTTTTCTCATGATCATTTGTTTAAAAAAGTCATAAAATAGTGTTCGTCCCGCGCATTTTAACTCTATAGATCCACTAATTTTACACATTTTCTTTGCTTCGTCTCCAAAATTCTTTAACACCTGCGAGCTTCTCATCCAAAGTAGTATAATTTATTAGCAAAAAGAACACCAGCTCCTGCTACGGGTGGGTCTCTTTGAATTTTAAAATTGCATTCTTATTTTGAAGGTCACATCTATTGCGTCACAGAGTGTGGCGAAAGGATAGAGGAAAACAAATGCCCAGATTGTGGATGAGGATCGTCGGCCACAGTCGTCAGAACATCAGATATGACAATCACAGGTCAATTAGTAGTAACCCTTATATGAGGGTGAAGCTTTGCAACTTCAATTAAAATAGAATATATTAAAATTATACAACTATAGCAGATTTTCACAATGACACCTGGTCACTTGACCATAAGGTTAGCTTACAGATACATTGATTAATTTTTTATTGCAGTAGTAGTTCTCTCAAATTGTTTCAAGTTTAGCCTTCCGAAAACTGATATTTCTGAGGGAATTGCCCCGCTCAGTTTAATATGCTGTAAGACACCCAGTCATAATATATTCTGTGAAACTTTCCAAACGAACGCTGGTTATTTGCAAACTGAAGGGTGAAGTGGAGGTGGTTAGTGGTGGATATTTACCGAGCCGCAAAGCGGCGAAGTAAATCTCCACCGCTAACCACCGACACTGAGGTGAATAGTTGGTTTAGTATATACTAAAACAGTGAGTTAATATACAGCACCAAAAATTGATTTGAGTGATTTCTTCGCTTGTCACGGATGCAAACCGGGACGCCATTTTTTCCCGAGTTGCTCGGAGGTAAATAGCAAAGGATATTCGGAGTTTGACTAGCCAATCAGAGCGCGCCTTCAACGCTATCCACTGTTTTAGTATATGCTAAAAACAATTAATCCATTCTAAGGGACAATTAATACGAAAAAGGTCGTTCTGCGCCAAGTTTTGATTTCCGTGATACGTTTCCATTTTGTATGCATTTAACTAATGAGGGAACACGACAGCTTTCTGATTAAGTGGTGCAGATAGAGATGTTCAACAGGTAATATCTATGCTTCGTCTGAATTGAAAGATTAGGAAAAACAGGAAACGGGAGAGAAATGAGAAAAGGGAGAAAATCTTACTTGGTATGAGTGTGCTTCTGTATCATCCTGTGAGGAAAAATATGTAAATTACTGCTCGGAATTGTATCACGAATCTTTAAATAATTTGAAATTATAACTCTGGAGTTTGGATGCCCCTAACTAAGTTCGCTTTATTGTGGAAAATTTTAAAGACATGACACTTTTGGGAAACTGTCATCGTCACATTTGTATCAACAGCACACCGATATGCAGAACGCCTTTTTATCAGCTCCAGTGTTTATCTCGCCCACAGCAAAGATGCAAACCTTGATTTACTTTTTTCGTTTATTTTGTTCAAGAAAAAAATCGTAGGACGTACACTGAATCTCTAAAAACAGGAAGCAGCCATACAATCCTCAGGTCATATTTCCTTCTGTAGAACTTTCTATGTAGACTTCTAACAACAAATTTCTATAGTTGGACACTAACTATTCTAAGAGTGAGCTGTTCGTATTACAATATATACTGCGCACTTCACAAAGAATTAAATCACATCTTAAATGTAACGTTAAATCAAGCAGATGGTGTGGGACTGACAACTTCGATAACTCCGATGTGGCGTCGGTTGGAGAAGTTGTTATTGCGCGTGCCCATGTAGCAGTACTTTCCAGGCTTCTTGATTCGGAAGCAAGGCGGATTGCAGGAGGCTGGGGCATTGTTCAACTGAGCGTTCAGGTTTTTTACGTCACCGTTGTAACATCCAGTGTTTAGGTGAAGATTCAATTTCTCCGGATCTTCAAAGTCATCAACATGGTCAACCACTTCAAGAGGCAAGGTGGAACATGCTGCTGGTTTGAGAGAGCTGCATCCTTCCTTTACCCAACACACATTTGTGCGATCCGAACCTGAAATATAAATGACACGTTTTCAATCTCGTTTTCGGCGATGTGAAAGTTTGATTTCGACGAGTTTTTGCCACCGTGAATCACTAAGAATCACTGATGGCGCCCTTCCTATCAGGTTTCCCGTTATCTTTGCGATTTTCGCGAAAAGCCTGTTGAGACTGACTGCTTTAGACATAATATGTGTTACCGATATTCTGAGAATTGTATGGTGCCATAGTTTAACAAGGGAAAATCTTGGTACCAGGCACCCAGCGAGAAGTATAGTTGTCATACGTGATTGGTCAAGACGAGTCTTCCCGGAGATGTTGTCATATTTCAGTGATTTTCCTTTGCCTGCGATATTTTATTGCTCTAGTAATCATCGTAACGGTAATCATATTATGATTTCGGCTTTTTTACTTCTACTATCGCTCACTGAAACGTTGGAGCATCTAATAACAGAGAATACTTCCAATGCTTAGTCGCCTCTACAATTTTCCACTCAGTGTTGTCCCAAGAGGTGAGGGAAAATTTGCGCATGTGCAGTAACAAGAACTGATTTGATACTCATCAAGTCTTAGCCTTAGAACCTTCGGTTGTGAAAAATTGAAACTCTGGTCACCTTAGCATCACAGCGCACGTTTGAATCGGTTTTCAAGGGGGCTGCTCACGAGCTTCATTTTCCCGAAATTATTGGATGTTTCTCTCCAGATTTAAGTGTTATGATCGTTAAGTTGGCGTTTCTTGTTACGTTTAACGAATAAATTTGGACATAAAAATCGACTTGTATATCCACTGTACAATCGATGAAACAAATGCGTTATGAAACCTTAGTAGTCCAATCGTTTTGGCTTAACGCCAAGTTGTTGTGGTATCATCTACATCTGCACCTGTCACTTCAACAACTTTCAACGACACTTGCAGCGTTGGGGACTACCGTTCCCTTCTTTACTAAGCATGATACGAGGAAATGATAGTGCTGGAAAGTACTCTTACCTGCCTGTCCCTGGCCAGCGTTTCCGCCAGGATTGTTGTTTGAACCTATGATAAATTAAAAAAAAAATGCTGTTGAAAAACTGAGTCGCAATTGAGGAGGCATGTGAAAGAATTTTATATCACGTGTCGAAAATGGTAACTGGTATTAAGAACGTTTAGAGATTGCAGAACCTAATCCTATGTTAGGGTCACATAACGTTACAACAACTTTCCCATATCTGTAACTTCAAATCAATATGTAATTCTGCGCGCAAAAGACAGGCTTTCTTCCTACCAGACCACACAAAGCACACCACGTCTTCTGTTGTCACTGTCTTTCGTTCGGGGAAGAAACGATACTCCATGGCTGGATAGGCTTGAACAATGTTTCCCCTCTTTCCCATTCCGAAAATGTAATATATGTTGCGATGTTGATGTTCCTTTTCCATTTTATTTCGGGCTTTAAGAATGAAAACATGACTTCTGTCCTGAAATGTTCGGCCAACTTGTGCAGTGTTCAAAGCGAGTTGAAGATCCGTTTCTCCATTAACAGCTTTAGTCTTAGGGTTATTCTTGACTCTGTAAACAAAACTCATATCGATGAAACTTTCATTTCAAACTAGGAGATTTATTTTAATTCCTCTCATTATCATCTTGAAGTTGGAATTTCTACTGAGTAAGGTTTGAATATTTCCGATAAATTATTTAATTGTCCCCTCTATGAAGTTTGTTTGAACAAATTGGTAAACATCATTTAATCTTAACATATGCACTTGTATCAATACACATGCATTTTTGGTTTGAGGTAGTGAACAGTTCTGCGAGCTAGGATCTTAACTTTATCTAAAACTGTGAGTTCCTAGTGCTTACACAGAGTAGAACTCAGTTCTGTCTAATACTTACTCTCCATTGTTACTGGCGTTAAACCCGCGTGGTACGTCATCAGAGGTAATGTTGTACCTGCAGATATTGAAAACACGTGCAGCAATAATCTCATGTCTACTTTGCTTGTGTGTCGCAACTGTGTCTGCGTGTGAAGTATGGGTGGCAAACAAGCTTTCTTTGGTCAGGTACCTAGTAACCGAGAATTTTGCCTTTTATCTAGTGGAGCTTTACAGTGTTTCCGTCTCTTGAGCTTCTCGCTACTGTCTCAAGGTAAAGCAAGGGAATATATGTATTCGATGCCTGGAACAAGCTTCTCTCTGGTGAAAAATATGTTCATTGCTAACCTGACATGGGAGTGAACCACTGCTGAATAAACGAATTATAAATTGCCTCATCTTTCCTTCTTTTACAATGTCTCACCTAATTCGCAGCACACAACGTTGAGTAATGTTGGTTGGAAAACAAGGAACTTTCCATTTGTAGGACGAAAACTTGCCAGTTGAGCTAATTCCGTTATGATTAACGACCGTGGATGGGGCATAAATCACTTCGGGGGGCTCGTGAAGGAGGACAAATTGGTTAGGATTATCAGATCCTTGTGAAATCTTATGTGCTTCATAGGGTACACCTCTCGACAGTTTCTCATTTCCTTCGCCGTGGCAGGTGCTTAGCACTCCTCCGGTTTTCTCCAAGTAGTTTGTGATAAATTTAGTCCAGCGGCCTTTATGCTTTTTACACTCTTCTTCCGTGATGTATGGACCCACGCACCTTACAGAAGGCCTGTTTTCGTTGTCTGGTGGGCACCTTGGGTTACCATTCTTGTTGGTGTCCATGATACACATGTCTTAGAAACACATTTTAAGGAAAAAACTAAAAACAGTTGTTTTATTCGTTATGTATGCAATCCCTAAATCCCAATGCTTAGTGTATTGAGCATAACTCCATAAGCTGCTTTTGATACTATTCTCAGAGCAAGAAAAGATTTTAACGATGCAAACTTACAAATTGAGAACTGCTGTATCTAATCGTGTGGTATATAAATGCTATTACTAACCTTAAAAGTTAATGTCGTTTGTTTTTTCTTAAACCTGCCGTTTTCTTTTATTTCATTTCATTTTTTTCAAAAAATATCCAAATTATCACAGATATGAAACATATGGATAATATAAGTTTTAAGTTAAACTATTTGTGCTGGGTGAAATAAAAAATCCTCAACTTACATTTGAATCCATAGTATTTGTCATTCACATAATCTCTCATCAATTTTTCGGTCTTATTATCGCTGACCATGATAGCAATGTCCTTCCAAGGAGTTGGGCCCCAATATGGAAAATAATCGCGTTCCTCGGGAACTTCCAAGCCCCTTCTTGTCCCTCCGGGATTCTGTCGCGTATGAATAGCCTTGTCCGCCCTAAGTTTTTGGTCATCAGTGTACAAACCTGCCAGACGAACAAGAAACAGTAGTTCGTATGTGCTAAACACCAATTAGCCGAACAGAGTCTTGCTCTTAGCCATAAATTTGCTTGGCTTCAGTCGTAAATCAAATAAATTGCATTAAATGATGTGAATCAAGGTAAAACCTTCAGTAGAAAATAGTAGAGAAAAACCGTTTTCCAAGTAAGTACTGAAACCTTTATTTAAGGCCAATAAACTAACTATCTAAACCCCACTTGCGCTTTGCTTTGTTACACAAGGAATTTATTGTTTTAGGCTTGAATCCGTAGCGCCTAGAAATTTTGAAACATTTTCGAATCCGATTATGATTTCTTTCAGTTATACCATAGTAAAAAGACAGTGATACTTTCCACGCCTTATCATTTTTTAAAACAGTTTCAATTAATGTCCTATTCTCTCCTAAAAACGAACTTGTTCCTAACAGTAAGAACGTGCTTTATATCTAAACTTCATCAAAGATTATGTACAAAAGCGCCTAAATATTAACCATATTCTATGTTTTGATTTACAAAATGGATCCTTTGAAAACATGGAAACTAACAGTTATACAGAGCCCGCCTGAAAATAGAATTTTCTAGAGTGACATCTTCAAAGACCAATGTAATGCCTCTTGTTGAAAACACGCGCCACACCATTGTAAGTCATTTTCCAGAGCCAATTGATATTTTACCTATATGGGTGTTTTAAAAGCATATTGCATTTTTGGGATTTTATACACAATCGAAAAGCTGTAGTGCAAATGGGTTGAACACAATTCTCACCTGAATTTCTTTTTCTGGTAAAGTATGACTGGTAGTAATTTGCGGGCTCGTGAAGCCCTACAGCTTTACTGATGTATGCATTCTCGCGATGACCGGTTTTAAAAGCTACTTGGGCAGTTGATGACTGTCCGTTACGAAGGGTGTGATATTCAAACTCTATGTTAACATCAGAGGTGACCATCTTTTCTCGAGGATAGGGCTGGCACATGAACTGAAGGATAATTTGTGATTCCACCATATCATCAGTCTCTGGGCCAGTTCCATGTTGATTGGTCCACATAACTTCTACTTCAGTTTTGGACTTGTCTGAGCATCCACTCATGTAGAATTCCTGATATCATAAAATCATGATCAGTCTTGGTTCCATTTCACGGGCCAGTGAGTCAGTCAGTAAGTCAAAACTGTTAGTCAATCAGACAGTCCCACTAGCGGACAGCAAGCAATTCAGACGATCAGTGGAGTAGTCGGTCAGTTGGCCAGTCAGTCAGTCACTCGATCACTGAGTCAGCCAGACCAAGAGTCAGATCAGTCTTTCAGTCCGTCAGAGAATCCGTCAGTCAGTTTTTCTTGCACTAATCTAGCAGTCATTTAAATTATGCATTATTGCAATAATAATATGCTTTGATTTCAGTACTCATATGACATGGATAGTTCTACTGGTTACATTAGGTTTCTGTAAAATTTCAGCAATATTTTCTCCAGGATTAGCAGACTGGCTGTCTCCAACATTGTAGCCGGCTTTGCCATTATTCTGAGGAAAAAAAAAATCAAAGTGAAAACTTCCCGAGGTTATCCGGCAAAATGCTTCTTCAGCTTCAATACGTAATAACCGCAAAAAAAGTTTGATTGTATCAAAAATGAATGAAAAATTAGATTAAGTCTACGGACAAAAGATAAATGGATGGGGTTCTGTGGCGTAAACATGCATTCTATAATAGCGAGGAAATCTCGAAGAACCGTAACAAAGTTAATGTATGCTGGCGGCAACGTCTTCGAAATTTAAATTAAAAAACTCTTTTTGCCTCAAAGCGCCACTGTTAGGAATGTATTACAAAACTAGACAAAAGTTAACATACTTTGTTTTCCTTTTATATATGATAACAGCAGTCTTAAAAGAAAAACATGGCAATTAAGTTTTTAACGATATTGCTTCTGTAGCGCATGGGGTAGATACGGTTCTGGGACCCCTCCTAGGTCTGAGAGAATTGTTTTCGCTTCTCTGCGATCTTATAACTGGGTTTTCATGTTTAAACATTGCACTAAGAGAGAGGGGAGAATTTGAATCGAAATGAATCGAAGGTGGCAGGATTGCTTACAATCATGACAAATGCTTGTTTACAGTTTACGATTTAGATATCTTTGATTTTAATAAGTAAAAGGTTAAGAAGGAATAATTTCTTTTCTGGTAAAATTGAAGCTGAAAGATTTCATCCAAGGAAACAAAACACAAATGTTAACGTCCTATTAGATTCTCTTTAGAAGTCACTACACCGTTGAAACTTGGTTAATGTGCAACATTCTAGCTGCAGTCAAGTGATAAGACATACCTTGGAAACAATACCCTGTTCTCCTAAAATTTTTTTCTCTCTTTTGCTGAGTGCTCAGTGTCTTACCTGAGAATCAAACAACCTATTTGCGTTCCTAACATTGGCCTGGCCACCGTTCAATCGATTGTTGGATCCATGTGGAGTATGGAAGTATACATCAGACATACAAGGCTCCAGAAGTACAGCCACGAAACACCCCCAAATCAAACTGTACTTCATGGTCTGTTTAACACATAAAAGTGGACTGAGAGGTTTTGTGGTTATCTCGTAAAAGATGACAACTCTTAAACTAAACTTCCTTAAAATAGAGAAATAAATTTTTTTGAGGAAGCACTTAAGCCGCACAGCCTGATAGCACACACTGATAGCAATCTCCCGTAATCCTTCAACTCCCAGGAATGGATGACAAACATGTAACTTTTGCGGCATTTCAATATCAGGACACTATCCAACAAACAGGTTATGAGAGTACAGACTTATCAGCTTAACGATGCTTGAGGTTTTTATCTTGATATGACACAAAATTCCCTCCAATGGTTTTTGTTGAATTTACACCAGCAAGGAGAAAAAAACAAAAGGCCATTGAACAAATGCCACTGATGAAAACTAATCTATGCGTCAAACTGTAGTGTTACCACTACAAAGTAATATTTCGTGAATATTATGATTGGCTAATGTAACGTCTTTGTTTCTTTATAAACCAGTGGGATACAAATTTAATACTCCTGCATGCACGTCTCTATCTAGTTAACAACACCTCAAGCCAATCATTTCAGAGAAGACGCATTTCTTTTTAGCACAGATTTTACTGGAACTCTCGTGGTTTATGACTAAGGCGTTGGGTCTCTTGCTTGCCTGAGTCACTGACGCGCATGTGTACGTGAAGGTTTTTTGGAAAGAAGACGAGTGAGGTTAAAGGCCTTTCAAGTAGATCATGCTACTTTTGATTACAATTACAGATTGTCGTGATATAGGTCATTTCTACCTCAAGAATATCCTATAGAATTTTAAAAACCAGATTTTACGCACGAACTATCAGCTCGCTTAGCTTCAATTCGCTTAGGGGTGATTGTTAAAAAAACTCAATAGAATTTAAAGGACTTCCTTAAGGACTTGCACATACACGCATCGAAGCATGAAACTTTTTTCTTTTAGGGCGTTGTCAATACTCCCATATTGGAATTAGCCCCTGTGGAATGTTGCCCAAAGAGTACATGGAAATTTTCAAGCATTCGCCGAATTCCTTTTTCACCTACGTAGTCAAGGCTTGAATACTAAAGAGTCTTTCAAACATAGCAGCCTTAAAATACAATGTACATGTATTTAACTAAAAACTTCCAGAATGCACGCTAAGAAATCTTTACAAACGAGTACAACTCAGCCACAAATGTTCAAATCTTCACGTAGAAGAGTGAAAGAGAACCGAGGATTGTGCTACAGGCACTTAGGACCGCTTTGATTTTGACACAATTTAGAGACCAGGTTGTTCAAAACTTGGTTGAGATAACTTAAGATTAGTATTAAATCTGATTTCAGATCAGATTTAAAACTAAATTCAGTATGATTCTTTTTGTCTAAAATTTGATAAAAGACTTATCTAAGGGAAAAGAAACCCGAATTAAATTTTAGCTTTGGGTTAGCGTTCATCGGCCTTCGAACAACTGGGCCCATTTCCAGATTTGAATCACAGAGCTCCCCTTAAATTCTATAAAAGACCGATCGCGTTCAGAATGATATTACGAAGTGAGCTCACTTACTCTGGTTTGGCCGATTGGGAAGTTGGAATGTCACAGCGTAATCCGCACCAGCTGAGCTGCGGTGAAGTTGTGCAATGAGCTGAAGGCGTGCGCCTGGATTTATTTAAAGTTAAAAAAAGGAAATAAAAGCGGGACAACAGTGAGTCAAGGATGACTGACTCCATTATCTCACTGAAGCGTCAAGTCAGCGCTTTGTTTGTCGGAAAATCTATAACATTTTTGTATTGAAATAACGTCAATATTTTCTCGCTTGTCTGCATACTAAGTCATGTAATTATTTACATATCCGCTGACAATGAACATCTCCGCCTAATTGTACGATGGGTCTTTTTTAAAATTCCTCAGTTTGTAAGGATTTTTGTCTTTTGTTATAACACAGATTGCCAAATGATAAAAGCCACTTTTAACTTCTGGTTCGCGAACGTAGAAACAAGTTCTCGTGGGGACTCCGAAAATCAAACGGGTCACTCACTTACTCAGGTGTAGACGCCGTGCAAAATACTATTAACGTGAATCGCTTCGGTTGTATACGATCTGATATGAAACAAGAACCGTGGGAACAGTCGAAGTTTATTGGCTGTTTGATTAAATTAAATTTAATCATCTTATGTAAATGTTGGCGGCTGGATCAATCGCTAACACTATAGCGGAAAGAAATAATTTTATGATTTTTTGACGAAAGAAAACTTGCGGAATACACCGCCACATATCTTCAATTTTGATCAGTCAAAAACTTGCGTTCATGATGTATATTGTCTTTAACTTGTGGTACACGAAGCCTAAGGACAAGTTTTTATGGGGACCCTGGTATGCAAATGAGTCACTCGGGTACTGTTATAATTAGTCGTCCCAAACTCGCCCGGACCTGACGCTATCATCTTGGAATGATAACGGCGCATAAACGACTTGTTACAGTTTATTCTTGGCATTATTGTTGCTCTAAATACCACCTTTCGAGTTAAAGCACAAACCCAATAATGTGATACGCTTGGATTGTTTACGGTCTGATCCAACACAAGAACCGTGGGACAATTAAAGTTTATTGGCAGATTGATCAAACTTGAATATCTTTATGTACACATTGGCGGCTGGATCCTGGGCTGGATCGAACAGAAACAAAAACTCAGCCCTACTTGTTTTTCTCATAATAGCATCACGCTTCAAGGCGTATGTTTGTGTTTGAGGGGGGATGGGGTTGTGCGACGCACCTGTCATTCCCTTCCTAGTTTAAGAGTGTTGACTCGCCACTTGCCAATCATGTTAAAATTCATTTTAATTTATATTGTCTCTTTACAGCCATATCTTCTCATCTCTCTTATTTTCAGTTTGCCTCAAAAATTATCCATATTCATTTACTCTCCGTTCGACTTCTTTGTACATTTTTATGTTATTAGCATTATTATAAATATTGTTAATATCATCATTATCATTTTAATCATTATATCATATAGCTGTTATTATCATTGCTGTTCAGTATTATTAGGAAGCTGAACCTAGACTTATTCTTTGTAACCACTCGCAGAATTTTCTGGAACGGGGAAGATTAAATCAACACGAAGCCAAGTTCATAGCTGCCCTATGCTAAAAAACACAGTGCTAACAGCTTATTTCGAGTAAATTGACACAACTCAAAAAGGAAATGCCCACAGACTTTATTTGCCGTGTGAGACTCTGTGCTGTTGATAGCTGCCAGGGAGAAGGTGACACTTTTTTTGCTTTCGCTCGTTCGAAGCAACGAGGAGGGCAAAATGGTTTTCTTGCAGATCGAAAACCGGGTTTGTGTAGCACTGTCCCAAGCGAAGAAAGCCTTTATTGTATTGGCAATTTTTTCTTACTCACGAAAATGAGTCCATTGTGGAACAAAATAGTCACGAGCCAAATAAGTGCTCCTGAACCTCAACAAGAACAAAGTCAACCTTCGACAAGCAGAAATTAAATTCATGGGCTTTGTGATTTTAAGAGATGGACTGAAACCGGACCCCGATAAAGTTACTGCCATCAAGAACATGCCTAAGCCACTAAGTCAGAAGTTCATACCTTGCTTAGCTTCGACAGCTATCTATCTAAATTTCTACGCAAGGTATTAGATGTGTCAACACCTTTAAAAGAGCTTATAACTTTTTCTTTCGCCACTATTCAGCGCTTAGTGATTCAAAATCCATTTCTTAAGACCTACTACACAGAAGAAGTTACTCTTCATACGGATACCAGTAATGAAGGCCTTGGTGCAGTCCTTCTTGAAAATGGACAACCAGTCGCATTCGTGTCCAGAACTCTCTCCCTAACAGAACAATCATATACAACCATAGAGAAAGAATGTCTGGGAATAGTCTTCACTTGTGAAAGATTCAACCAATATCTAGCACAAGGAGAGAAGATTTCAGCCGAAACTGACTACAAGCCTCTCGAACCAATATTTAAGAGGTCTTTATAATTAGCCCCTTGCCGTCTCCAAAGAATGCTTCTCAGGCTGCAACGATTCAACCTCTCAGTTAACAAGAATCCCGGTCCCAAAATGCTCTTAGCCGGACATTTGTCCAGAGCCACATAGCATGAAATCTCTGGGCCAGAAGAAACGTTTCAACTCTTTTCCTTGGTGCTGGAGAGCCTAGACCATAAGCAATGCAAGCCCTGTAGGTCACCCCAGAAGGACTGGATCAATTGCAGCGTAGTACTGGTTCAGATGACACTTCGCAAACACTGCAATGCAGAAAGATCAAGTGCTAATCAAGATTCAGGAGTGTTAGTCTTACCGAGACGAGCTACCAATACATAATCGTATTCTGTTCAAAGGCTCGAGAGTAGTCATTTCTCGGTTACTGAGGTCTGAAGTCTAGTCCAGAATTAATTCCAGCCATTTGGGAGTAGAGGCTTGCCTACCTAGAGCTAGAGACCTTGTATTCTGGCCTGGCATGAATGCAGAAGTTCGGGACCAGATTAAGCAGTGTTCAATTTGCAACGAATTTCAAGCTATGAATCAGAAGCTTCCGATGCAGAGTCATGAGCTTCCTGACCGCCCTTAAAGTCGAGTTCAGACTTTGTGGCAAAGAATATATCGTGTTTGATGACTTTTACTCGGATTTCATGGAAGTAAAGAAATTGGAAGAAAACACCTCTAGCTCCATGAATGATTTCTTCAAGGAACAATTCAGATATGGCATTCCAGTCGCACTTGTTGCGGACAACGCTCCTCAGTTTACAGGCCATGAGTTCCATCAGTTTTCAGTCGATTAGGAATTCACACTCGTATCTTCTTCCTCACTTCATCACAGATCTAACGTAAAGACGGAATTTGGAATGAAACTTGTTAAATCTTTGTTCAAAAAAGCTCTTAAGGACCTATGATTGGCCTTGTTAGACCAACGAAACACACCGACGGTCTCTTGAAAGTAGCTATGCGTAGAGTTTGAATCAGAACCTTACTTCCTACAGCTCAGCTAAGAAGTCAGAGTGGCACCTCTTCAGAGGAATCAAAGCTGGAAAATGGGTACCTGTATTAAGAAGCTATCGGACAGGTCCTATGTAGTAAAAACCAGTTCAGATAATCGAGTACTCAATAAAAATCGGGATTTTCTAAAGCAAACTGGATAACCAGCTGAACAACCCAAGTCATTCGAAGGCAGTGACAGCCAGCCTACAAAGAGTGAAAGCCAGCCTGCAAAGTGGGTTGTTAATTCAGCTATTCCTGAACCGAAGTAAAGTTTGACACCACAAACTGTTCCAGTAAAGAAAACTCGAAAAAAAGCTGTAACGCTACCCTCGGGGTTAAGTGACTTTGTAGAGTAGTTGGCCGTGTGAAAATGGACAGCTCGAGATAAGAGAACTAAAATTACAAAAAGTTTTGTCACCGAACTCCGTTCTGTGGGCATAGCTGCATAGGAATGTGCACCAAAAAATGTATGCCACGTAAGGAAAAGTGTGGCAACTACTGCAAGCATAGTAGTGCATTTTGTGATCCATGTAAGGAGAAATGCATTTAGCAATGCCAAAATCACAAGTGCACAAAGTTATGCAGCGAGCTATGTGATCTCCTTCGTTGCAATGAACAAAGCCTCTTCCGTCGTGTAATTACCCCTGTATTAGTCTCAGCGGGCAACAGTGTCCGAAGAAGTGCCTACAGTGTCACGAGGATGAAGCTACAGAAATCCCTTTTGGAACCGAAGACAAGCCAGACGTTGGATTCGTCGAACTGGAAGACTGTGGTCAAGCGTTTGGGGTGGATCGACCTTTCGTCTTTTTTCGTGCAGATACAAGAGCCAAAATGCACCGTCGATTTGAAGAGGGAAACGTACATAGTGAAACCATAATAGACTTCGAACGTAACGTGGATCAACACCGGGTTCACATCATTGCATTAAATTCTCAGACGTTCAGCTGCCAACAGGTTGAGCAGCTCAAGAAGGAAATGCATAGAACGCAGCTCCTAGTCGACTTTAGATTGCACATTATTGAAAGAGAGAGATCGGTTAGAGTACTGTACGTTAACATTTACAATGCGGAGCGACAATAAGGCTCAGTCATTCCAAAAGCTCCTTTCTCATGTATAAGAAATCTAAGTCTAGTAATGGGACAGGGGTCGAGTACTGCTTCCGTTTTCCTTAAAATTATAAAAATTATTTGTTCAACTAGGGAGAAAGTGATTCGTGTCCATTGAAAACCGTCAGTGCATCCGAATAGTTGTAAGTTATCAATTGACAGCCGTTCTATGACTTCAGCGATCAAGTTAAACTTTGAAATAAAAAGGCCACATGTTATCTGTTATTTGAATGACGGTTTCTCCCTTAGTTGGATAACAATTGCTGAAATAAACAGGTATACCACTTCAGAGGTGTGAAAGAGAACGGTACAATTCTTCTCGCACATACCATTACAGCGTCTTATTCTAATTTTCGAATCGAATTTTATCGACCGTCTTCAAGTTATCATGACCCGTGCAAAAAGTCTTGTCTAACACTTGGAAAATTTTCAGGTAAGACACTTCGAGATCGATACACTGCTCGAATTAAACGTATAAGAGGGAACCAAAACATTTATGTTGAGACCAGGCAAATTTAACGCGACAACCAGAGTCATAACGTCAATTCAAAGTGTCGGGCACAAGCTTACTG